TTCCTTCCGAGGAGTGGCTGGTGGGTTTGAACCGCCAGCCTTCTGGTTAGCAGTCAAGTGCCTTAGCCACTATGCTACCAGAGCTCCCACTGCCCTCCATAGCTATCCTTTATTTCCAAATCTCACTTCTTACTCTTCAAAAGAGTAGCACAATGACATATCCCGAAGGAAGCCTCCCCCAGCTCCTAGGGGCAAAAACTCTCTGCTGTCCCTATCAGCTCCTACCACACTGTCCATCCTGAGATACTTCCCATGGTCCTGCTTGCACAACAGTTGTATATACACCCCACAGCTGCCCAAGGAACCCATGACTCTTTGAAGTAGAAGCTGTTTTATATATACTTGAATCCCTAACAATCCTGCAAGGCTACTCACTTGACAGCAGCTGCTCAGAAAATATCAGTTAACTAGCCCAAGGGAAAAATAATATGCTACAGAAATATAGCTTATCAAGTCTCAGGTTAGACAGGGAGTCAGTCTCTAACCCAAAGGAGAAGTTATTAAGGTAAAGTGGACCTGGTACATGTTGAGAGTTGGATAGAGGAAGCCTCTGCTCATGCTCCAGGTTTTCCAGACAACTTGTAGTCAATAGCCATGCACAGCATCCATGGAACTCTCTAGTGTTCAAGCCCACCCCAGATGTCCCAGAAGCCAGTGAGTTCATCTTTAGCAACTTTTAGCCAACTTAGATTCAAAGTCTGGGACCACGTGGTCCCATCTCACCTTTGTAGGTTCATTCCCACAATTCCTAAACATGCACTCTACATACTACATTTTATTTGTTCATCTACTAACCTAATCCGAGTCTTTCCAAATTCTACGCCTCTGCTTCTGCTTGGCACTCTACCCAGCACACCCTCCTCCCCCTTCTTTTGCAATCCTACTCATCTTTCAAGGTTCCTCATGAACCTCACCTCCCAACCCTGAACACCCACATTTCTGCTCTCCTCCACACCTCCAAAGTATTCAGTCTCTCTCATGTTATGACATTATAGCCTATTCTACACAACAGTGAACAGAGACTTTCTGCACTAAAGGAAGGGACCTGCCCCACCAAGCAGAGCTGGTGAAGAGTGGATGAGCTTCTCCTGGTGTCTGACATATTCTCTAATTGTATTTAACTCTGTATAAAGAAACTATCTTATTTGTTAATCTGTATTCCCTACTAGACTCTGGGCTTCTGGAGCAATGGACTACACCTTATAGACAAAGAAAAGAAAAACCAAACCCACACTTGTTGCCATTGGGTTGATTCTAACTCATAGCGACTTCATGTGCTACAGAGTAGAACTGCTCCATAGGATTTTCTTGGTTGTAATCTTTACATAAGCAGTTCACCAAGCCTTTCTTCTGGGGTGCTATTGAGTAGGTTTGAACCACCAACCTTTAGGTTAGCAGCTGCTTGCAAAACACCTGCTTCCAGAGTCCTCACCTTATAGACCAGAGGTGGGCAAATGATGACCTGAAGACCAAATGCAACCTTGGCCTGTTTTTGTTTTTTAAATGATATTTTATTGTGTTTTCAGTAAAAATTTACACAGCAAGATAGGTCCCCATCCAGCAATTTCTACATAAAATATTCAGTAATACTGGTTATATTCTTCACAATGTGTCAACATTCTCATTTTTTCTGTTCTGGCTATACTGCTTCTAGTAAACTAGTTTCCCTGCACTCTTAAAGTAACTGTTGCTTGCTAGGTCTCATACAGATGATCAGCCTGTTTTTATATGGTCCTCAAGTTAGATTTGGTGCTTACCTTTTTAAAAGCTTGTTAAAAAAAAAGAAGAAAAGTGTCACAGAGACCATATGTAGCCCACAAAGCCAGATATTTACTATCTGACCCTTTACACAAAGCTGCCTGACTCCTGCTATAGAGCACTGTATTTATAGTCCCAGTGCAGAGCCTGTAGGGGACTTCATGCAACCAACAACTGAATGAATAATGATCTCATGCGCCATTAGTTTAAAGAAAAAGGTCCCATACTCTGATGGGTGTGTGTGTGTGTGTGTGTGTGTGTGGCAGCTACCTACATAAGGAGGTGTTACCTACTTGCCAATGGAAGACTGATGAGCTCCATGCACTTCTTGCACATAATAGACCCGCAGAGGCGGCAATGGTGGCGGCGGTTACGGATGCTGAACTTACTTCCACAGTCTGGACAGAAAGGGACGTCTTGGTCATTGACCCAAGGCACCACTGACTTTTCTATTGCTTTGAGAAAAACAAACCAAAAACCAAACAAACAGAAAAGTGGGCCATTTTTATAAGAGATTTGGTCAAAGAGTTAAAAAAAAAAAAAAGAATAGAATAAATGTGAACCAAGTTGTAAAGTTACCTCGAATCTTAGCAGACTCTGCATTCGTTCTGTCAAACGCAGTGAGCTGACAAAGAGAAAACAGTGCCAATGGAGTCAATCAGAAGATATGCATACTTTCCACAGGCAGGAGGCAACAGGTGTAAATGAGCACATCTGCATTTCTCAAGTCTCCCAACCCTTCCCCAATCCCAAAAATCATGAAAGCAAATTCATATGAACAGTATCTTGGTTTGCATGTAGAAGTTACCTCCCTTCTCATCTCTTTATTGTCGATTACCCAAGTAAGCAATAACCAGGGAGAAGCAAGGGTGAGGCAATGGGAAATTCCCAACTCTCCACAGTCTTCACAGACACAATTTCCTGCCCTACAAAGTACACAAAAAGTACTGTTCCCGTGTTTGCTACCACACCCACCACACAATCTAGGTTATATACCATAAGCATTTCTAGGATCAAAATAAAACACACCAGTAATGGTATGACTGCTCCTGTACCACAAGAAGGTCAGCCAGATGTCCCCAGTGTACCCTGGCTCTGGTTGAAAACCCCCACAGACCTGGTCACCAGTTTTCCTCTCTGCTTGCCATCAAACACTATCACACACTATGGCCTATGAAGTGATTGTGCCTGGGACACCCAAATGAGAAAAGAATAAGAAGGCAGAAAGGTTTTCCAGCAGCCAGTATGGGGCAAATCTGTCTTTCCCTTCAGTAAAACCGGCCAGGCTAAAAAGTCTACCACGTTCTCTGCACTAAGTAAGCCATTTCTTTCTCTGTCAGTGTCAGATATACACGACATATGTAACACAGACTGCAGAAATGTAACTTATTCCCCCAGAAAACTTATACTTGCAAAGAAAACTGTTTTGAAACAATAAAATTTACCTTCTCTAACCTGATTATTAATTTATTGACTTCAACAACATAATGGTCAATTCTGGCAGCTCGGTGTTTTTTGAAATCAGGAAGATGGCTTCTCATAGCACCTAAAAGGAAAGTAAGTGGGAGGTAAGTGACTTGTAATCTCTCTGACTAAGCCCCTCTACCTTATGCTTATCTTCAATGAATTTCAAAAGCAAGTAAGAATTCTGGGATGTTTAGAGTCTTACTATAAAATTTTAAAACTAGGAAAGCAAATGGAAGGAAATTTTCTAAAATGTTAACCATTGTGGCCTTGGTGGCCACAAAGTGTAATAAGACAAACCTCAGAGTGTACTGGATAAGAACACGACTTAAATTTGACTCTGGAGGCAACCTGTGCTCAACTTTCAATCTGCCACACGCTCTGTGACCTTGGACAAATAACCTAACCTCTCTGAAATTTAAAGAGTACTCATCTGTAAAATAAGGATAACAATACTACCTACTTCACAGGGCTGTTACAAGGATTAAGTTAAATTAAAATTTATAATCTCCTTAGAACACTGCCGAGAATACATGTTGTTGTTGTTGTTGTTGTTATGTGCCATCAAGTCGGCCCTGACTCATAGCGACCCCTCCTTGGGTTTCCGAGGCAGTATCACTACGGAAGTAGGATTGCCCAACCTTCCTTCCGAGGAGTGGCTGGTGGGTTTGAACCACCAGCCTTCTGGTTAGCAGTCAAGTGCCTTAGCCACTATGCTACCAGAGCTCCCGAGAATACATGAATGACTGTTAAATATAAAGGGCAACAGCCTTACAAAAATTTTTTACAAAATTTCCTTCACATGTTCCAAAGTTGGTACAAGATGGTTTTTTCATGAGAATAAAAACAATCTTTCTCAAAATGGCCAAAAAAAAAAAAGTAAATGTTAATAAATGCCTGAAGGGAGCTAGTTAAACTTATACCTCCATCTAGAAGCCAAGATCCATAAAAAATCTCCCCAACACAAATGAAACAAAGTAGCTTGTTGTCTCAGGGTACATGAAACAGCCCCTGCTCAATCTCTTCTCTTCCCAAATCCACCCCTGACCTCCACCCTCTTAGCATTCTCTCCTCCCATGCTGTATCTGAAAGTTATCACATGCTACACTCTTCAACATCCATGTTTCTTTCTTTCCTAAAATATTCTAACATCTAATTAAATTGTAATTTAGAATTCTTAGGGGTAACCATAAACATTAACTTCTAAAATCAGCTATTTGCTTGACCTTCAACAATTTGAGACTTCCGTTAGCTGCTGCAACAGGCAAGTTAATCAAAATTCCCCTGATAATCTGACATTAGCAATCATGAAACAAGAATTCACATACCTGAAATTTCTCCTTTATGATTCTAAATGGCTTTCATATTTACCTCATATGTATATACAGTATTACTTTTAAAGTAATTTTCTTTTGCTTCATATTTTATTTCAGAACAATACTGTCCAGTATAACTTTCTGCATTGATAAAAGTGCTCCCACTGTCCAATATGCAAGCCACTGGTAGTGCAGTCGTTGAAAACTTTGCTGTTAACTGAAAGGTTAGCAGTTTGAACCCACCAGCAGCTCCACAGGAGAAAAGACCTGGTGATCTGCTCCCATAAAGATTATATTATAAGAAATCCTATAGGGCAGTTCTATTCTGTCACATGAGTCAGAATCAATGCGATGGCACACAACAGCCACATGTGGATAGTGAGTACCGGAAATGTGGTTAGCATGGTTGAAAAACCAGTTTTTATTTAATACATAAAGCTAGTGTCTACCACACCAGGCAGCACAGTTCCATGGCTTTCCCTACCCAGAAAGACACATTCCGTAGTGGCTCTATTAGAATGTGGTAAATGACTTCAGGTAAATATCAATGCACTTCTTAAGAGTCTCAGTTTCCTTACCTTCCATAAATGGGAATGAGCATCCCTACTCATTTTACCTCACAAGATTTTCGTGAAAGATGAACAAGATAATGAATATGAAGGTAGAATAAAGCACTATGCATAGAGAAGAAATTTTTATCCATTTCATGACAGATAATACTTTATTATAATAATGACTGTTATCATCCAACAGTTAAAGAATATGCAAAATTATCTAAGTTCACCTCAATGTGGCATGATTTGTTTCATAATAACTTTATTAAGATATAATTCACATACCATACAGTTCACCATTTAAAGTATACAATTCAGTGATTTTTAGTATATTCACAGAGTTATACAATCATCAGTACAGTCAATATTAGAATAGTTTCCTCATCCCAAAAGTATGAGTATTTTGAGAGTAAGTAGATGATGATATAATTACGTGCTTCAGAAAAGCAGCACAAATCAGTGGCTCTTCCAAGGCAGAAAACATCCGACATGAGGGGAGACATTCCCATCAATGGCATTTGGGACCGGGCATCAGACAGACCCGAATCCACTCTGGTGTACAGTTAACCAGCTGTTTGGCCCTGGGAAGGTTCCCTTGGGTTGCAGTGAGGATTAAGAGGCCACACATATAAAGCATTTCAGGCAGTGCCTAATACAAAGCAGATACTCATCTACTTCCTTCTCATTTTCTCCCCTCCCTAATACATAAAGTCCATGAGAAGCTCAGAACATTTTAATTTTCTAATGCTTCTTCAGCCATTAGAAATAGCACCTAGAATACAGTAGATGCTCAATAAACATTTGCTGAATGAATGAATGGATTTTCTTACCAAGTTCTTGGGGCTCCCACATGTAAGGATCAACCCCTCCATAGTTGAAAGACTCATATCCTTGGGTCCCTGATTCTGCTCGGTCATCTCCTTCTCGTTTCAACAACCTGTTTTTCGCCTTCTTAGCCTTCTGGACAAGACCTTGAAAAAATGGAGTAAGAGTCAGGGGAAATCTCAGAAAATAAGAGTTGATTTTTAAAAATTGTGTTTTATTTTAAAATGCTGAAGAAATATTTGGATCTCAAATAAAATGTAACAATAAGCATTCAAATAATATATTACAAATACCACAGAGCAATACACTTACTAGTTAGTATTGGCAGGAAGCTGCTTTATGCGGCCAAAATATAAACTACATCACTGTTCATTGCCAAATTTAAAATCCCAACTAAACAGAAGTTTTAAAATCAAATTTGATGAAACAACCAGAGTGATGTATATTTTTTCCTGTATCTTAATAGGGGTGGTGAGGCACTTTGGTGGCACAACAGTTAAGTGCTTGGCTGCTAAACGAAAGGTTGGTGGTTCGAACTCACCCAGAGGGTCCATGGGAGAATGATCTGACAATCTGTTTCTGTAATGATTACAGCCAAGAAAACTTTACGGGACAGGTCTACTCTATCATATGTGGTCACTATGAGTCAAATCAACTCAAATGGACTTAACAATTGGGGTGGGAGTTACATGAGTATATCCATTTTTCAAAACTTACATTGAGTCATAATTTACAAACTTACATGTATACTATACCTCAACTAAAATAAAGATTTTTAAAAAACATACAAAAAAAAAAAAAAAAAGAAACCATAAACCACTGCCATCTGACTTGTAGGGAACATTTTGGACAGAGAACTTCTCCCCAAATTTCCAAAACTGTAAATCTTGACAGAAACAGACTGTATCATCTTCCTGCCACAGAGTTGCTGTGAGTTTGAACCACGGACCTTATGGTTAGCAGCCAAATGCTTTAACTACTATGCCACCAGAGTGCCTATACAGTACTAATTCATTTATCCTAGGGAATCATGAGTAAGACTTACTTCCAGGATGGAATTCAGGCAAAAAAATTTTTTACTTCTAAGTTGCTGACTCATTAATTTCCTTAAATTTTCGGCGACTACTATCCTTTTAACCAGCCACTCCTCGGAAGGAAGGTTGGGCAATCCTACTTCCGTAGTGATACTGCCTCGGAAACCCAAGGAGGGGTCGCTATGAGTCAGGGCTGACTCGACGGCACATAACAACAACAACAACAACAACTATCCTTTTATGACACTGGATTCTATAAGAAATTAACAAATCTGATACACTAATAAATCTAATATAAATTGATACAATTTCTTTTACATTTAATAGACCAACACTTTATGGAGTTCCCGTGACTCTGAAATGTTGTTACTTAAATAACAATAAAGACATTCCCATAGTTTTTTAATAAACCTAGATAAATGCAAACAGGAGCTCTGGTAGTAGAGTGGCTAAGGCACTTGACTGCTAACCAGAAGGCTGGCGGTTCAAACCCACCAGCCACTCCTCAGAAGGAAGATGGGGCAATCTACTTCCATAGTGATACGGCCTCGGAAACCCAAGGAGGGGTCGCTATGAGTCAGGTCCGACTTGAAGGCACATAACAACAAACAACAAAGATAAATGGAAACATGAAAGGGCTGGCTGACATGGAGTAAAACTTGTAAGATTATAGGCATATTTTTGTTAGAAGAGCTAATAAAGCAAACTCTCTCATTTTCAGTTACTCTGGGATGGCATTCTCCAAGAACTAGAAAAATAAAGTCTACCAGAACTGAGGAATACCTGAGTGGTACAAACGGTTAGGCACTTATCTGTTAATCAAAAGGTTGGAGATTACTCAGAGGCACATCAAAAGAAAGCGCTGGCAATCTTGTTACCAAAAAGTCAGCCATAGGAAACCCTACAGAGCACAGTTCTACTGACACACATAGGGTCGCCATGAGTTGGAGTCAACTCAATGGCATCTTTTAAAACGTATTAGTCTTTTTTTTAAACAACATGGAAGAGGAAATTGCCTGCTGTGAACAAAGGTCTAAAAGACAGGAAACTGAAGTTAGCAAACACTAACTCATTTTTGCAAACAAGACTAAACTGTGTCAAATTAAGCAGGCAGTCTATACCATTTCACCACTGTTAGGTGGCATAGAAAAACTGCCTAGTAACCTTCCTAATGTGGGTGTAGCCTTTCAAGAGGGGGCCAATTAAGAATTCCATATATTTTTGAAAACACAAAGCAGAAGTCACAGTTAATTTTTAACCACCTTTTCTTCTTCTTGCTGCAAATGTGCTAAACTGAAGCTGAACCCAGCCTGGGGCTGAAACTCACTGACATGACACTTCTCAGGTTATTTATTTAGGCCAAGTTCATCTTTTAAAAACAAACAAACAAAGAAAACTGCCTCCAAAACGTGAAAAAACCTTTAGTTCTTTTGGCTTTAACATTTCAAGTGCTTAAAACTAGCAAAGTCATAAAACTTCTAAGAATTAAGAGACCAAATAGCAAGGTGACCTGCTTCTGTAGAGCTTTCCAAAAATCTTTGATGTCAGCCTTTAAAACTTTACCTTCCTGATTCCAAAACACTGAAAACTGTGACATAAGCAAGAATTACTTCCTCACTAAAGGAATAATTACAGATAGTAGTAAAGGAATGCTGAGTTCAATCTTAGTTCTCCCGAGGTAAAGATGCAAAAAAAACAGAAAAATTTTTTTTTCTGCTTTCAAGTTTCCTTCTCAAGGAACAAAATTTCATTTCATGTCTTACAAACTATATCACATATTTCTTCATTTAAAGACTAGAAGTATAAAGCAAGAATAAATCCTTTTTCCAGAGTTACACAACTACAAAAGGAAAAACTAACCAAAATCACATCAAACCCACTGCCACTGAGTCAATCCCGGCCCATGGTGACCCTATAAATTATAGAGTAGAACTGCTCCATAGCGTTTCCTTGACTGCAATCTTTACGAAGCAGATAGTCAGGCCTTTCTTCTGTGGTGCTGCTGAGTATATTTAAACTGCCAGCCTTTAGATTAGCAGCCCACTCTATTATCCCTAAATAGATTTCTCTATTATTCCTCAAATAATCTTACACATTTTCCTCTGGAAGAAGGTTCATTACAGACATCTGAGAGTATTCTTTAACCTCTCTACCCATTGGCATCATAAGTCTTAATGACACCATAGTGTATGACTCAGTGCAGCTAATACAAAGACTGGAAGCTCACTGAAAATCATGGAGGCCCATTAGCAGGCCAAAGGAGCTTAGGTAAACAGCAGTCATTCCCTCCCCACCTTTTCTTTCCTTCAGGAAATGGCAACACATGCTACAACTGTATTATGAGGCCTCACATGATCAGTGATGCCATGTGGAAAGAGTAACACTGAAGTTGATGACATAAGACCTTGGTTCCAGGCCTAGCTCTGTCAATTCCTGTGTAACTTTAGATAGTTACTCAACATCTCTGAGCCTCACTTATTATCTCTAACGTAAAAGCAACCACCTTCATAGAGGTGAAATAATATATGTGAAAAGCTCTGAAAATATAAAGCACAATACAATTTTGGGGGGAGAAGGGGCACTCCTAATAGTTACGGCTCTGCTCCAGTTTTTACAGCCAAAAGCCACCTGATGGATGCATCACAGTCCTTAATATTTTGAAAATGTCTAACCTTGTCATGTTTCTGGGTGGAAACTATAGTTGTTAATATCTGCAGCCAAACTTTATGTCTGAACTGTGAGTGAGACATGGAGTGGGACTTTAAGGACACACATCTGATTACAGAGTACATATAAGCCACATGTTTGGAGGCAAAGTTCACCTAGGAATCATTCCCTTTTCTCCCACCCAACAAAGAATTGAGAAGACAACATCTCATCACTTCAGAAATGCTGCCAGCAGGTTAGCTCAATCACTACGAAAGTGAGTTCCAGAAGAGCTGCATCTTTTTGGGAGTAAGAATCTGCAGTCCAGGATGTATGATCAACACTATGTGTAGTCAAAATTACCTTGGAAAAAATCTTTCTTATAATGTGCAATGGAGAGGGAGTATATTGGAACTCTCTGTACTTTCTGCAAAATTTTTCTGTAAATCTAAAACTGCTCTAAAAAATAGTCTATTTTAAAAAGGAAACAGTTCTTTCAATTCTCTAATACCTGAGCTCTGGAAGCTCAAATTTCTCCATGCTTTTTAACAATGATCTTCTTTTTCCTGGGCTACACAAGGCAATGTCTAGCTGGGAAGGAAGGATGGCAAGAAGACTTGAATTTGTGACAGGTAAATGGGCTCATAAGGTGCCTAAGTAGTGAAGGAAAGGAATTCTACTCTCAAACCCTGCTAGGGTGATGGTTAGATAATTCAAACACTCCAGCAAGAGACAGCCGAGTGCAATGATTACATTTACCTAGATTTAAAGCCTCTGCATCACTGTGTGACTTTAGGCAAATTGCCTAATCTCTCTTTGTGTGGGATTCTCATCAGTAAAATGAGGCTCATAATTGGATACCTATAGTGAAGATTAGGAGCTCTGGTAGCATAGTGCCTAAGGCCCTTGACTGCCAACCAGAAGGCTGGCAGTTCAAACCTACCAGCCACTCCTTGGAAAGAAGGTTGGGCAATCCTACTTCTGTAGTGATACTGCTTCGGAAACCCAAGGAGGGGTCGCTATGAGTCGGGGCCGACTTGACGGCACATAACAACAACAACAACATAGTGAAGATTAAATTAATACATGGGAAGAACTTTGAACAACACCTGGCACATGGTACACTAGATATATCTTTGCTACTATTATATTATTTCATCATTATCATATTCTAGTGGCAACATGGAAACTGATGAAAACTATCTCATGCACCTCTTACTTTTAATTTGTCCTCTGACATCACGATCTTCCCCTGAGTGCTCGTCCTCATAATGTGACTGAAGTTGATAGAAAGACTGCAGGTCCTTCAGGCACAGAGGGCAGAGGAAGCCCTCTCTCACTTCCCCTGGGTCATCCAGGGAAGCCATAGCAGTGCCTTCTCAATCTTTACAAGGCAGTGGCCTCATGCCAAGAGTGAGCTTGATTCTTCCACAAGTGTCAGCTTGATTCTTCCACAAGTGTCAGGATTCCTGCAGCATTAGCTTCACCACACAGCATATTGATGATAGGGAAGTGGCATCATGGTCCCCTGGATGGTTTCCTTTCTGGAGTAGTAAGAGCCCTGAGAAAGTAAAGGGAGGGGGCGCAATTGAGGCAAATTAACAGCAATTGAAAATTTTCTCTGTTCTTTTCACAATACAACAAGGGTCCTTAATGTTTGTTTAATCCAAGTTTAAGAAAGCAAACTACCTTCTCAAGTCCTTAGGCCAAGACACAAAGTCTTCTAAGATCTGAGAACATCACTGGACAACAGAAACTCAATGAAGTGGAAAAAGGAGATTCCTGAAGATAAGAAAGTAAAATTCCACTTCAAAAGCAAACACCTAGGGATCTATGGAGAAGAGCTTGGATAGAGAGGGAGAACAATGTGGAACAAAACTCAAAATCATTTGGAGAAAAAAAAAAAAATGTGGGGACCAGGTTTGCTGGTCCGATAGAGCCTGGTGGAACCACTGAGACTATGGTCCCTATCTGCCTTTCCGGTCTGGAATTGAACCCACACCTGTGACCTCCAGCCAAACAAAAGACAGGCATATGAGTTGAACATTTACCTGAGGTAGATACAGTCCTTGGAGAGAACAATTATGGGAGAAAGAAGGGCTGTTTATGTACAGGGAGACAGTTCAGGGGGCAGGAGTACATGAAGGGATGGACACAGGGAAGAGGTAACTATCAGGAGGAAGTAGGAGGGGAGCTGTTGTATTTGGGTAAATTGTAGTTAACGTCATAAGACAACATGTGTGTGTGAACTGCTGCATGGAAAGTGAATTTGCTCTGTAAACTTTTACCCAAATCACAATTTAAAAAAAAAATAAAAAAGCAAACATCAAGGTCATTCTCTGACATTATGCCAAATGGTCCAACTTCACAATTTGTATGCTACTGTGGCCACTGAGGAAATTCCTAAAGTATTCCTAAAGTATTCATCAACAAGTACACTTTCTTTACCTTGATCATTTATTCAATTGCATATATTGAGTTCCTGCTACTTGCAAAACATGAGATAAAAAATGAAGAGATGAAAAAGATATAGTGCCTGTCCTGAAAAAACAAACAAAACCTCACCATCAGTCTAAGGAGGACCATTATAAAATGTATAATAATGTAATGAAAAGAAAAATCTATTTTGTGTTTTATATTTATAGAGCACTTACTCACCAATGAGTACTAGATTTTACAATCCAATAAGTAGCAGTTAAGCAGCAAGTCTAATGTTCTCATTGTTTCAAAAATAAAAGTATTTCAGAACTTAATAAGTTACATTTTCTGGCTTACTGGGTCTTGGCAAAGTCACTTCCAAGGTCATCTCAGAAAGACTCCCAGCCATAAGAAGAATCCAGACAAAACTATTCCACAAAAGCATAGAAATTTCTCCTCAGGAACCTCTAGCTACAAACCGCTGCCTAGAGTGAAAGGCAATGTGTGACCCTCAGTTTTGGATAGACTTGTTCAGAGGGCCATTAAAGAGAGACCAGCTGGTCCCCAAAGCTGAAGAGTGGCAGTGACTCAAAAAATAAACAATGGAGACCCTGGATCCCAGTTTTTCCCTCTAGCCAAGGAGCACTGGTGGTTCAGTGGTAGAATTCTTGCTTTCCAAACAGAAGACCTGGGTTCAATTACCAGCCAGTGCACCTTATGCGCAACCACCACCTGTCTGTCAATGGAGCCTTGCATGTTATGATATGCTGAACAGGTTTCAGCAGAGCTTCCAGACTAAGATGGACTTGGGAGAAAGGGCTGGCCTGATCGCAAAAACAATGGATCACAATGGTCTGATCCACAACTTAGCACCGGGATGGCACAGGACTGGGCAGCATTTCCTTCTGTTGTTCAAGGGGTCACCATGAGTCAGACGCTGACTCAACAGCCACTGTTGTTGTTGTTATGTACCATCGAGTCGGCCCCAACTTAGAGCGACCCCTCCTTGGGTTTCCGAGGCAGTGTCACTACGGAAGTAGATTGCCCAGTCTTCTTCACTAACAACAAATAAAAGCAAGCTTAATGAGTAGAGTGCATGAATGCAATTCCCGGCCCCTTTTCTAGGTGGTCACTGAAATAGTAGCCCATGGTTTAATTTGTTCCCTCTCCAGCCATAGTTCCCCTGACGCTGACAGCCTCTTCCTTCCTATGTTCTCACTGACAAGCACCACAAATCACACTGTAACTCTACCCAAGCTTCCACACACACACTTCACATCTCAGCCCAAACCTTACTTCCTCAAGAAAACTTTCTCTGACTAGAGGCATCCCCTCCATCTGTCAACACCCTGCACTTCTCCTTCACAACACTCATCTCAATTTTTAATCACATGTACATGTGTAAGGTGACTAAACACATAAGAAAAACTGTAATGCCGCTTGGCAGAGAGAATGGCCAGACTTTGTCTCACCTACTTAGGTCATGTTGTCAGGAGGGACAAGTCCCTGGAGAAGGATATCATGCTTGGTAAAGTGGAGGGTCAGCAAAAAAGGGCAAGACCCTCAACAAGATGGAATGACACAGCGGCTGCAAAGATGGGCTCAAAAATAGCAAAGATTGTGAGGCTGGCACAGAACTGGGCAGTGTTATATTCTGTTGCTAACTCCATGGCACCTAACAACAACAAGGTCTGTAACGGCAGAGTCTATGTCTGTTTTCTCCGCCATCATATCCACAGGGTTTAGCACAATGCCTGGCACACACAAAGTACAAGAACAACAAGACCACAAATAAGTGAACAAACCCTAAAATCATATAACCAAACACACACCACCAAACTGGACCCCACAACCATAAATGAACCTACTAACAAGCTCCACAACCCCAAACCACATAAGAAATAAAAAACAAAATCTAAGTGTCCTACCTTTCTGCGTCCTGATTGAATGCTATCCTACCATATGCCTCATAAGACTACACAATCCACAGCCACATTCATTACAGACTCACGACCACATAAAACCACTGACCCACACAATTCAACACCATTATGCACACATCGTAGGAGCTCTGGTGGCGTAGTGCCTAAGGCACTTGACTGCTAACCAGAAGGCTGGCGGTTCAAACCCACCAGCCACTCCTCGGAAGGAAGGTTGGGCAATCTACTTCCATAGTGATTGATAGTGCCTCGGAAACCCAAGGAGGGGTCGCTATGAGTTGGATCCGACTGGGCGGCAAATAACAACAACATGTACATGTCGCAGAACCACAAATATAAAAGACCCAATCTCCATGGAACATAGACATGACAAGTCCACACATCGCACAGACACCAACACAAACACGACAAACAACGCCACACGAACTCAGAAATGCCACAACCTGACACAACCAGAGAACCAAACACAAATATTCGGGACAACCACCCACTTCTCAAACGCATAACCAAACACAACTGTACACGCTCCGCATAACCATACAAAGCCCAATCATCACAAGCACACACTAGCGAAACGCGCAGCACGAAAGCCACATCTCCCACCACGCAGATCACACCCATCACAACCACACACATCCCACATCCTCACAGCCCGCCCGTCTCGGTTCCCGACTAGACCTCGCCTGCCCCCCTCAGGCCTGACCTGGCTTTTGTAAGACCCTGGGGTTTCCTAGGGCGCGCAGGCCTCTCTGGTCCTTGGGCCGGGGCTCTGGGCCTTCACAGCCCCTCACACTACAGCGACCGCCATTGCCATCGTCTGTTCGGTGCTCGGCAAGCGTGCCTGGGTCAGCGGAGCCGAAACCGGAAAGCAGGCTGGCAGACGCGCACAGAGCGCCGAGTCTTCGAGTGCGTAAAAGGGGCGGGGGCGTACTCCACCGGACTCGGACCGGACGTCCGTTTCCGTGCAGGCCATATAAGACGAAGGGCGTGGGGGTTGGTCTGACAGTCGGCTTTTGTGCAGGCTGCATAAGACGACGGGCGTGGGGGTTGGTTATTTTGCGATGTTTTGACGTCTCACATAAATATGGCCCCAGCGTGTTAAAGCTGGACATCAGTCTGTTCCGTGTTCCAAAAAGAATAACCAAATTCACTGCACTGGAGTCGATCCCGACTCATAGCGACCCCTCTTTGGGTTTCTGAGGCGGTATCTCTAATGAAGTAGATTGCTCAATTTTCCTTCCGAGGAGTGGCTGGTTAGCCGCAGTCAAATGCCTTGGGCACTAAGAGGTTTATAGTTGTTTGACTCTTGACCAATGTGGTGGTGAATGAGTCAGCGGAGGGGTTCTTCAACGCCCCCTGTCTCACAACTAATTCCAAATTAATTTAAGAATCAAAGTCCTTGAGAGCTACAGTTCTAAGACTTGAGGAGAGTTGAGGAACATGTGAGGGTATACACTTAGAATGAGAAGTCATATCCAGTGGATGTACAATATGGTCAAATCTGTGGTATCTTCAAAAACAGGACGGTTCATTCTGTACCTACCCAGTACCCTGCCCTGTACTGGGTACTACAAGGTGTACAGAAATAAAACCTAATAGCGGGTGTAGTAGGGTCCTGGGTTTAGCAATGGACTAATGTACTGGATTTAGCTTGGGTTTTGGAATTCAGGTTCCCCAGTGTTCCTTGACGTCTTTGATCCTTGGTATTAAAAACTGTAAAATAATATTCTGGACCTCAAGGTTATTATTTGGATTAAATGATGGAATATTATTGTTAGCTACCTCCCAGATGGCCCCCTATTCAAGCCTGTAGGTCCTCAAGCCACACTTTCAGACAGAAATGTCACTGGGGTCAGAGGATGAACTTTTAACTACTAAACTATCATGAGTTTGCCTGGCATTTTATCATTCACAAAAACCAATATAATATTCACCATTTGGTTTCCTCAAAAAAGCCATGGCTATGTGGTCTGCAACTTGTGATTAATTCTGGAAATCATGATGTCTTAGCC